ATTTGCTTCGGGTTGCGAACAAATCGGGTTGCGACCAGAGTCACGGAACGGATTAAATTCGTAACCTGAGGTACCACTGTATTTTTCTTTGTTCTTGGAAAGAAGAGGAAGAAAGGTTCTGAGAAATAGTTGTAAAGGTAAATAAATGAAAAGAGGTAGTAAATAAATGAAAAGAGGAAGATTGGGATCACCTCTGATTTGGGAGCAATTACTGCAAAATAATAAAATATAGGTCTGTATTTAGTAAGTTGTTTTGGGTCTGGGATCCCAAATGTCCCAAGGAGGGGTGTCCATGAGCTAATGGATACCTTTTTGCTGCCTGCCCCTATTCTAATCACCCTTAAAAAAATGATTACAAAGAAAAGTATCTGACATAACGGTAGACCCTATAAATTTGGTCAGTGACCTCAGCCTAATACTTTATTTGTAGAAAAGTTCTCACAAAATGAAACAGTGAGAGTACAACAATGTAAAATATAGTTCAGTTAAAAAGCAGTTTAAAAGACAGTGCAGTCCAAGGGTAGCTGCTGCCTTACAAATGCTGGAATTAATGCATTTTCCATTAACATTTAACAAGAGGCCACCTGTATTCTTGCTTGGAGAGAATTCCATTATCACAGGCTGCCACTGTGCCCTACTCCTAGTCATTCCACTGCAGCTCCCCAATCCTTTGGGATTTACAGGAAGAAGGGAACCTGTAACTAAACCAGATGACAAACTGTGAACTATTCATAAATAACTATACTAGTATTCCTCAGTATTCTTAATTGGTTCCTGAGTACAAAAAAGGATTTCAAGTAGCCAAGAAAAGGATGCTTGTATTCACCTTGCTACACATATCTAGATGGAATCTCAAATCATTGTCATCAGACAAAATTGACAAGGAATTGTATCTCTTTGGAAAAAAAAACTTTGAAAAATACTAAAAAGTTATTGTACAGAAGTTTCTCACTATCAGATCCCTCTCCTATTTCTAATTTGAAGATATCCAGACATGAAATTTCTTGCCCGGCATACATGGAAAACTAGTAGGATGTTTGCATGTGAAGTTTATTATATGCAAACATCCTTGTCTTTGTCTTGCTTATGCTATCTGTGTTCTTGAAGCTTTAGAGTTGGAAATATTGGCTTCCAGTTGAAACGTTTAGTTATCTGACCACCGAAGCATCCAAATTTAGCCAGCAAAGTAGCAGAATTGTACATGTATAGTTTGTAGTATAATTTGACACTAGAATTGTATCCTCAGACTGTTTTCTTTCACTGGTTGTAGGTTATGTGAGTTTTAAGAAAGCATTGGAGATAGGTTGATTTCAATTTGTGGTGCTATTCATTAGAATATTTCAGTATTTATTCACCTCAAACCAGTCCCTTGAACTATGTGAGCTCCTGATTGAGAGCTCAGACTCTCCAGAAGCTTTAGCTACATAGAACGCTGTGAGATGCGATCTCAGAAATCACCTTCAACTTATCAACATCCCATGAGCAAACTTTCCTGTTTTAGGCAGAAACCCAGGTTTGACCAGGGCTGCATGCAAGCCATGGTAGAATCAGGGTGTGAATAGCGTTTTACTACACATTGCCAGAAAGTTTAGTTTGGTATACTAAATAAGGTAGCAGATAGTGACCTTAACAGTGAGCTCACCTGTTAGGGGGCGCAAGGCCTAGTACAACTGATTATGTCTTAACCTCATATAACCTTTTTAGATTGGCAGTTTCATTTAAAGTTGGACTATGGATGGATAGTGACCACTCATTGCTTTTACTTCATAAGGGTCTTAGCCCCCACCTGACTTCCTTGGACAGTTCTTCCGAGGTTAGGGATAATGACACAGGGTTAGTCAGTCCTAGGATTAGATGATCCAAAAAGAGTGCTAGAAAATCTCGGTATTCCTCAGCTTACACACGGGTATTTAAATTTACTTAGTTATCTTTTTGCAATCTCTATTTATTCTAGTTATCAGAGCCATTACTTAAGATAATGTGACTTGTCTCCATGAGGCAAGTTTTAAGGTACTATTTCAAATTAATTACAGTACCAAAGGGAGGCACTTTTGGATTTTTCTCACTTGACTCTTAAAATATTCAGGCTGTATTCATTTATTATGAATGTGTTACGTTCATTTGTAATACATTAACTTACTATGTTTGATTACTTTTATATTGTCATTACTTACATTTTAATGCCTTGTTCATAATTGACAACTTTAGAATAATTATTTTGTTGCTTAAGTCTCTTAAGATATGGATCAGTGGAAAGTATTGTGTTGATGCAGATGGACGAAAATCAATTCTGTACAACATTTTGGGAAGGTTTCACGATGATGGATATGATGGAGGGGTTACCTAAGAAGAGAGCCTGATGTACAGTTTCTAATTTACAGTTGTTGATGAGAAAGATGTCCTGATTTTTACAGTCATTTGAAAAGCGTCCAGTCTTGAGGATGAATAACTCTCCATTGCTAGGTTATAACTCCTAAGCCTTTCTTCCTAAACTGACCTAGAACTGAACTGCAGAATTGTGGTATTCTTAATGTTGCTTGCTAATGGACCTGATTAAAAATACCAGGCTAGATAAAACAAGAATCTTTTTTTTTGGAGGAGGAGGAGGAAGAGGGGAAGTTAAGAATTCTATTAATAGTTACAGTTTTCCATCCCTATGTGCATATATGTGTGTATGTGTGTGTATAATTACTTCAGAGATTTTTTTTTAACAGAAAAAAATATGCAGAATTACCTGGAAAGGGAAGCATTAACCTCAATCACATCTAGACTGATGCACTTTATATTCTTGTTTGCAGCAATATTATATTATATTCACAGCAATACGAGTAAAATACTTTTACTGAATAGTATAACGGAAGTTCAAATACCTATACCTCAGGACTTTAGTGAACAGTTTCCCACTGTTTTTCTGCCAGGTTCTTGACTAAGCGAGAGCAAAAACTGATGCAGCGGCGTCAGCATGCTGAGGAACTGCTGCAGTGGAAGCGACGTTTAGATGCAGAAGAAGCAGAGATACGTCTGATAGAAAAGCAGGCGTTAGCTGCTTGGGAAAAAGAGCTGCATAAAACAAAAGCAACTAAAAAAGGAGCGGGAGATCAGAAATCTGATCAAAAAGGTAGAAACTACAACATTTACCTTGTTGAGATTCTAAATCAAGGGTTGGCAGACTTTTTCTGCAAAGGGCCAGATTCCCTCCCCCGCCTCTGCCTCTGTGGGCACAGCTGGCAGGTCTGCAGGTCAAGGAGCACGACAGCCATTGGACAGCAACAGTCCAATGATAGGCTGCTTCCGTTGCCCAGGACACCCCACCCTCAGTCCCACCCCTCACCCCAGGAGTTCAGCTGAGGCTCAGGCCTAGGATCTCCTGCTTGCCTGCCCATCTATTCTTAGCTTGTGGGCTGTACAAAAAGAAGTGGCAGGCCAGATTTGGCCCATGGGCCATAGTTTGTTGACCCCTGCTCTAAATCTTCCTATTAGAAATGTGCTGATTATATGGAAAAGGTTTGGCTTATCCAAGTTATTGTGTTCAAAAAAATCCCTTGCAAAATATGATTACATTGCAAGAAATGGCTTTCATGTATTCAGGAGCTGGTTGTGTTCCAATAGCTGCATTCAAACATCATACTAATCCCAAATTTTTAATTGATTGGTTTTGGGTCAGTATTTGCGTTAAACAATTCTACTTAAAATCAGAGATCAACCTTCACCATAAAAAAACATTTATACAGCATCAGTGATGAGAAAACTAATAGGTAAAAATAATAATACAGGGATGTATTTCTCTAAAATTTTCATAAATATTCTCTCTCGTGTGTGTGTGTGTGTGTGTGTGTGTGTGTTTGCTGGTCTTTGACTGTAATAAAGATTTTACTAATTGATTCTCAGATATGGTCATGTGAAAAAGTAAGTACACCCAATATAACATTTTTTTTTTCTTTTTAACATCTTGTAGATGATCTTCTGGACAGTGGAAAGACTGATGTCCAATTGTTTGGTGATCTTTTTAAATCCCTTTCCAAGCTCATGGGCATTTATAACATTCAGTGGCCTCAGAGAGCTCTTTCAATCTAGGCATGGTGATACCGCAAACTTCAACAAGAAAGAGCAAATCAAACTAAATGGCTGAGGTTTAAATAAGACAGATTCCTCCCATATCCTCTCTAACAGTGTTCTAATTGTTTTCACTTGACTCTAATTTTAGGTATTTCAGGTGGTGATAAATGTAGGGGTATACTTTTTCTACATGTGAAATTTGCTTTTGTGCTTATTTAAATTACACATTGGACTACAAAATGTAAATGGTGTATGTATCCTCTTTATCCATCAGTATTGTTGAAATGAAGATCAAATATCTGTATGTAAAAATATGTTGAAAAAGCCAAAAAATTCAATGGGGCGTACTTACTTTTTCACATGACTATAAGTATATATCAAAATATTTTTAAATCCCTGTCAGTGAAGTACTGAGAGTGCTTGAGGGATTGATCCTTCTCCACGTTCTTCTCTCAGAGACAGCCAGCGAAGAAGACTCTTCAGCACCACCCTGTTCTCGTCTAAACAGCGAAAGCTCTATCCCAGAAGAATTGAGCCATCTAGTTGCTGAGTCCGTTCCATCAAAGGTTTCTGAAGATCAAGGAAAGCGTGGAAGCCTAGATCACACACTAACTGAAGATATGGTTTATACACAAGAACTAGAATCTGTTGCTTCCCCTGGAAAACGTGTAAGTGAGCTTGATTATCCATTTGGCATTCTTTAAAATTAAACAAATGCTTAATTTGGATATTGCTTTATGTTATGTAGTAAGTAAGGCAGACAAAATGTCTGTACATACGCTTTCTTAAAAAAGAGAAAAGCATTCACCTCTTAATTCCTGCCCCTTCCAACAAATAGTATAAAGGTACTTTGTAAAATGTTCAGTGTGTATTTGCTGTAACATAACATACTAATCTTGTTAAAAATGAAATCCTGTTAAAAGGTAAAAAAGATGCACTCACAATTTAAACTCTTTCTAGTTTACTTCCCAGCTTCAGTGAATGTTGGCTAAACTATACAGGTAGTTCCTGGGCTAAGAACACCTGATTTACAGACAATTCATAGTTAAGAACGGAGCCTACTGTAGCAAAATTCAAGTTAAATACACAATGATTTGAGTTAAATACACAGTTTGAGTTAATTACACAATACTACTTATACAGTATTATACAATATTACTGTTCTGGCTTACATACAAATTTGACTTAAAGACAGTCCTTGGGAACGGAATTCGTTCTTAAACTGGGGACTGCCTGTAGTTGTCTCTATTCATTGGGTGTTGCTACCAAATGTGAGGTCACCTAAATAGGAAAGGTGGTCTAATCTCAGAATACCATGGTGACATAGCCTGTATTATCAAGACTGACTGGATGAAGGAAATGAGATGGTTTCTCATGCGGCGCTAAGCTTGACTAAAAGGCTGAAAAGGTGGTAACTTTTGTCAATAGTAGTAGGAGGCAACATTTTGTGGATGGGAACTCACTAAACTATATTTTTCAGCATGTGAGAGCCTGTGAAGTAACTTAATAACATCTCTGAAGGGCTAGACTTTTAGTGCTTTCTAACATTTGAGAGAAGGGTTTCTTCCTTTTTTTTTTATTTTCCTTTTTTCTTTTTAGTAAAATAGGCTTAATATATCTATCAGAAGCATAATACTCTTTTACTGCTTAATCCCTTTTTAAAAAATGAGCAAAAGAATGTCTCCACAGTTTGACTCTAGAATTCAGGAGCATAGTCTTGAGGTGCTCTGAGTACTGTTAGGAAAGGGGGGCTGGAGGCCAATTTTTTAATGAAACCTTGAGACAAATTGAGATTCTGTGGATTTATTAGCCATGACAGTCTCCCTAATTGAGAATTCCAAAGATAATAATCTTCAGCAACTTTAATATCCAAAACTTTATTTGAGGAGTGCACAAATGTCATTAGCTTCAAGAGCCACATAAGTCTCTAAGTAGCATTTCAGGGCTGAATTTGAAAAATGGGTGGGCGCAACTTGGGAGTGGGGTTCATGTGTTTAACAGGTAAAATTGAATGCTGGAAGGATCGACAAAGCTTACGGTATCCGTTTTGCTCCTTAATCCCCTATGCAGAAATAAAACTCCAAACCTTTTGGTGTACTACATTCTCTTTATCTTCTTTTCTTTCTTTTCCCCCATTTTCTTGGCTTTCCAGGTTCTTCATCTATTGAATACTTTCCCTCTATTCTTTTCATATTATCTTATTTTTACTCCCTTCATTTTACTTATTTCTTTGTATTTTGTTTTCCTTCGGAACCTCTTGGATTTAGTTCAAAACATAGCAATGTTTTAAAGTATAAACTGAAATGAAACGACCAGTTTTTATAGGCATGGAGTCCTTTTCAGATCGAAAAGCACTGGAGATTATTAGAAAAGGACTATAGCTTTGATTTTGGAACAATTACAAGGGAGAAATTCTTTCCATTCAAGCATTACAAGCATATGATTAGTATGTGGAAATGTTATCAGATATATATTACCTACTTCAGATCCCAGCCTTAGAAAAGATTCTCCAGGAATGATTCTTGTCATTCTTCACAACCTAAAAAAAGGACACAGACATATGTTCAGTCCTAGACTTAATGTAAGTAAAGTGATATCTAAAAAAAGCAGAAATCCAGAAATTCTCCTAAACTCCTTTTGCATCTGCCAAAGGAAAAGGGAGATTTTGTCATCTGTAGATCTCACAGAGGCCCACCTTCACACTGTCATTGTACCTTAGTACATCAGACTTCTAGATAACACAGGAAAGTATGTGCTTCTCTCTGTCATGGTGGCTCAAGGAAGGTATAACCCCTGGCATACCGCTCTAGTGGTTTTCCAATACTGGAAGGCATCTGCCCAGTGTGATGGAATGGAATTATGAAGGCCAAGCTCAGGGAGACAAATATTTTCTTAGC